TGTGCTTTGTTAAGAAAAACAAGCATGTCAATATAATATTGAGTGAAAGTTGTCCTATTAGCAATAATGCTAGCATCTGAGAAAACATGGGGCTGCGTCTGAAATCGCATACTACTAAAGTACTACATTTGCATTTGAATTTACCACACGGCCATTTTAAAAGTATTTACTTTACAGTATGAATATGAATATAGTGTGAATAGATATCAGATGTACTACATCCGCCATTTGTTATTATTATATAACCTTCGTGGGTTGGTTGCGTCACTTTTTTCATTTTCATGAATTATCTCGTTGCATCATGCATGGGATAGTGTAGTGTTCATTAAATGTGCACTTTAGAATTTAGTAGTAGTAGGTCATCTGGGTACTTCTCTTAATTTGGACATACAACTCAGCTCGCATACTGTTTTTAGTGTGTGAGTATACCTCTTTCAGGTGCACACAGACATAACAGCATGTTATTTAATGTTGAAACTTTTTGTGTGCCACATAAATAACTAAATATACACATTTAACATACACTAACTGAAAATAGTCTTGTGGTCAATCCCAGTTGTAAGATCAACAAATACAAACCTCTAGTTAATCATAGGGAAAATTGGCAGAAGGTCGATTTTTTATTTTTTTTTATTTTTTGCAATGAATCATTTGTTGAACTGCATCCTGATCATTACAAATACTGCAGAAGACTTATTGGAACCCACATGGACCCAAGATTTAAACAGAAAACAGTCAAGCTTGGTGAAGGAAATGTCCTGGTTTGCGATTACATTCAGTATGGGGGTGTGTGAGAGATCTGCAGATTGGATAGCAACATCAACAGCCTGAGGTATCAAGACATTTGTACCACCCAATTATTTTAAACCACAGGAAAGGGCAAATTCTTCAGCCGAATAGGGCTCCTTCTCATACTTCAGCCTCCACATCAAAGTTCCTGAAAGCAAAGAGGGTCAAGGTGCTCAAGGATTGGCCAGCCCATTCACCAGACATGAGCATTATTGAGCATGTCTTGGGTAAGATGGAGATGGCATTGAAGATAAGTCCAAAGAATTTTGATGTTCTCTGGGAGTCCTGCAAGAACACTTTCTTTGCCATCCCAGATGACTTTATTAATCAGTTATTTGAGTCATTGCAGAGATGTATGGATGCAGTCCTCCAAGCTCATTGGAGTCATACACAATATTCATTCTTTTTCCACTGCACCATGACTTTATATTCTATACTGTACATTATTTCTGTTAAGTGACAAGACTTTTGCCTAAGCAAAGAAAGACCTTATTGTCCTAATTAAAGAATTAGAAATTAAGGCATGGTCATATTTCTTTTGGTAAAATAAGCGTAATCTAGAGCCTTTTGTCTTTCATATAAGCCACTTCTGATACCAAATGATCAACAAGAAGTCAAGTTATCATTTGTTGTTCCTAAAATTTGGATAGGTGAAAAGACTTTTGTCAGGTAGTGTGTATAAATTGAAAGTGAAGGCTGTGCTTTTGTTTATATGTGAAGGTTTAATCGGAATATTGTCTAAATCTCATTATAATCTAATTCCAAAAGTCCTTGATAATGTAATCAATGACAGGATGATGGAACTCATGGTCTTGTGTTGGAGATGTTTTTAAAACACTAGGCTGATTATTCACATGTAGCTGACTTCAGCTTGCTGAGCTGCAGGAACACCATCATTCAACAAGCAGTCTTTTATCTGAACAAAGCAATTCACACTACTCGGCTTCATGTTACAAAGCAACCCTGCGGGCAACATCTTTCTTTGATGCTTCTTGTAAGGTCACTGCTTTAGCATTTTGCAAATCTTGTAGATTGTACTTACTTGTGATGTTTTTGCAAACTTTGGCATGGTTCAACTAGCTACTAAGATTCACATTTCTGCTAACTGCATCACTGACAATTCCAGACATGCCGTATTATTTATGAGCAATGTCTAATGTGTTTGGGAATCATCTGTGCTGGGCTGGCACTCTCAACACCTGATGCTTTGTTTTTCCTGTCTCCACTTCATGTTGTGGTGAGACTGTGTGGTTGAGCTCCTCTTGGGGACTCAACCCTTGATTGACACCATCAAAACTTCTTGTCCCTCCAATCTAACCTGTCTTATTATTCAGTGATGATGAGAACACATAGGGTGGAGTTTACCCATTTTAATGTAAATATTCATGTAATTGTTGCTTGTGATTTTTCAGCCATCTGTTTGTAACGCATCATAAACAGTTCATTGTAATTGTTGTGAGCTATGCATATGATTTACTGTAAGCCTGCTTTCACAAAGCACACTAATATTTAAAGTTCCTGTGAAATTAAGATAACACCAGTTTTTTAGATGTTTGTATTAGCATGCTAGTGTTAAGGATACCGCCAAACCAGTGTGACTCAAAACACTGACAAAATTACAATTTAGAAGATGTAAATGTAGAAGGTTTTTTTTTTTTTTTTTTGAAGATTCTCTTCAAATCATCTGACCAATCAAATGCTCTCTAGCATTTGACATGTCCAGCCCCCATCAAGGCACTTCTCATTCTCATTTGCTTTTCATTTAATGTGCTTGATCTCAACCACTCTCGCTGACAGAGTTGTGTTTATATATTAACAGATTTGTGTGTGTTGAGCATCAGTTAAGACAATGTTAGCACCTGTCAGCTTAAATTGTGGGGAAAACTGGATAATTTTGAGCTTGTGTCAGCTAATTTCAGCTTCCGGGTTTAAAATTATTTTTAGGGCGGGATCAAAATTGGCGACGTAGCGCAGTACTGCAAGTGCAATGATGACGCGTCGGTTTCTCATTATTATTCATAGCGGAGTTTTCTTATCCTATAAGAAGAGCCGGCTGCTTAATTATTCATGAGACCTGCCAGACCTGCCAGTGTCAAGCCCGAGCTGAGAGACACGGAAACCACGGGACAGTATTTAGCCGTTCATGAAGGCTCATATGCGTTTGTTTCCATCATCCACGGGGTTTGTTGCATGTTTTCCCCCGCGATCTTGTCAGGGCCGATCATACAGCAAAGCTGTGTGCGTGCTGCAAGCATTTTTGTCGGGAGAGCAGCACGAGAATTAGAGAATGGCGGACGCTGTGTTTTATCAGGAGTTCGTTCACATTCAGACACATCGCCGTGCTGCTGTGTTTGCCCAAATCCTCCAGATTACCAGCAGGACTAATGGTTACAATAGACAGGTCAGGAGACCTGCTGCACTGAGTCTGCTGGATACGGGGATTGAGGGAGAAGTCCTCATTTATAGGGTTTACATGAACACACATCTTTATAATGATATAAATTGTGGTTTTCTGTTTATGAAATTATGAATAACAAATGTAGCAGGGCATTAAATCACTGTTTATTTCTTTGCATTTTAACTTTGTAAACTATAAACTCTCCTCATGGTTTGTCTCATTTTGTGAGCTAACTGACATCAACAGTTGTTCGCTCACGTTCTCCCCTGCTGGCCATGCCCACTCCTGCCCGATGTTCGCGGAGCTCCACGCCCATTAATCATGCATCTTTTGAAAAAATTCTGAAGTAGACTTTACCTGAAATTGGGAGGTGTCATGGCCCTTTAAAAATGAAACGTTATTAATTGTTTTTAAAAAGATTGGGCGGTAACGATAATTAGCACAATATATATATATATATATATATATATATATATATATATATATATATATTTTTTTTTTTTTTTTGATGAAACGATAATGACAGTTCGATAAGTGTTTGATAATGTTTATTCACTATGTGTAACGCTACACAGGCATTTTAAAAAAAATTTCTGATTGAACAATAATATACATTAACTTGTAAGGTAATGCCTTTGCTTGGTGAAAACTCGAACAGTAAATGCTGAAAAAAAGATTAAGAATGTTCTTTGTTTATTACTATTTTTTTATTAATATTGTCAGACAGCTAAGACATTTCACAAAATGTGTTGTCAGCTGCACAAAGGGATTGGCATGCTGAAAATCCTTTAAAATGGATAGATGTAACAGTTTGACATTTATCATGATAGTTATCGAAATCGACTGATGTGAAAAAAATCATCGCCATATCGCCCAGCCCTATGTCAAACATAGAATAAAAAAAAATGCAGATTTAAGATCACTTCACCGTATTTTTAACTCTCCAGCATGATATTGGAAAAATCTGACATTGCAATATCTTGTTTTGCCGCAAAATATTTAGCAATATAAATATAACTTCACCTTGTGATTTTGCACAGCGTTAAAGATTTCATTAATTTAGATCAACCGGGATGATCAAGTCTTATTCTAGGCAGTGGATCTGCTTAAATTATAATAAATTGCAAGCAAAAATACGTAAATAAACGGCTTTAAGGTTTTCTGAGGAGTACAACAGCATTCATGTACACAAATTGAAAAATCAAATGTAAAATAGCATGGTTGTCATTGCATAAATAATTTAAAAAATATATAATATTTAATCATATCTTTATCTTTTAGTCTTTAACAAATAATCCAGTCATGCAGATACACAGATTGCGATATTGAATCTCAAACGATATATTGTTCAGCCTAATTTTATTTTATTTTTTTTCTCCTGAGTGTATGTTAATTATACACAATGTGCTACATGGAAGCATAGTTGATGACCTTACAGGATCATTGGACATAAACTCGGTTTATCCATATGGTGTATTTTTGCTTTATCTGAAAAATGAATAGGGGACTTTCAGCATGCAGCGGACAAATTCAGCTGCCTAGACAGAAAGAGCTAGCCAGAAACAGAAGAGGATATAGAGGAGGACACAAAGTGATCCATTGATTCACACAGTGTGCCGACATGTATCCGGCCAGCAGCAGGTGTTGGCTAGCAGTGCTTTCTCTCTTTTGCTTGTGATTAAACTCTGTTGCTTTAAGTTTGGTGCACACTGCAAGATATTGCCTACAATTCTTTTATTTTCTTCCAGATTTTTTACATTTTTTATATTATTGATATTTTTTAATCTACAACATTTTCTCTTGTTACTTGCAGGTCGGTGACTACCAGGACCCAGTCCCCCATGATGCACAGTGCTTGTGACAAGACCACACCCACCTTTAGCGTGTAGAGGAAGTTGCACCGTCAGCATGTCCTCACACCCTCAGCCAGTGCCTCAGGGTCGGAGGGCTGTGGACGCTCGTCACCTTTCCAGTGCCGCCAACCTTCCTCTGCAGCTGAGAGCCCATACGGTACAGCACTTGCTGATTACAAAATTAAATGTACCTGCTTATTTACATTGACTTGAGCCAAGAAAAAACATAACAGAAATATTATTAAGAAAAAACACCTGTCACAAATATACTGTCTTGTTGTAATTTTAATGTATTCAGGGTGTCTGCGGGGCTTTTTCAAAATAAAAGTCACTTAAAAGTAAGGAATTTTGGCCTTAAGTCTTAAGACACGTGCACACCGGGACCCTTTTTGCTTGCGTTTTCCGTCAAAGTTTTACGCCTTGTGATTAAATAAAGGGCGCCAATGTGATCGAGCTCACCTGCAAAAAGCCAGGTGTAAAAGCGTCATTTTTAAAGAAACGCCTCTTGCTCGTTTTTTTTGTTTCGACATGCCACATCAAAACCTTCTCCACCAATTAGATTGGAACTTTTGTTTACATGCACAGAGCTGCTAAAGTTACAGTAAACGGCACTTGGAGGCTCTCAAGCGCAAAACTGTCAATGCGAGCGCATATTGAAGAAGATGCCCAGAGGCAATATGAACGTGGAGCTGCTTATTGCACTGGTGAACAATAATCATTTCTTAATTGCTAGAGCTGGAGCTGCTGCTTTTTCGAATAGCCAGTAACTTTAACAATAAGTGTGTCAACTTTCTGTCTTCTTCTGTGTTACAAGCCGGTGTCAAAAGCTTAAAGTTGTGTAGTGCCTTCTAATGCCAAGGAGTGATTTTGCACACTCTTCTGCTTGACGGCAGTGAAAATTGCTTGGGTTTAAATGCGGACAAACATCTCAAAAAAACGTGACTGTAAACGTAAACAAAAAGCGTCCCAGTGTAGGAGCTTTTAAATTTGTTACAATATGGTGTTGTAGGTCTTAAATAATTTTAAACAGGTGTTCATTTTCCTATGTGCAAGTAAAGCAACCCAATCCAGCAGACAACCAATAACCAATAATCCATGTCAAAACTTTTAAAAATGTGTTTATTGCAAAGAGATACAAAAACAGCTGTTAGATATTTTTACAGCAAATTATTTTAATTAAATTCCTTAATCAGAGAGAAAACTAAAGCAGCACATCCCTTACCATGATCTTCCATTAATATAGATCCTATTACAGAAGTAACTGGGCCATTAGAAAAAAGGCTTAGTGTTTAGCCCTGTATAAAACTACAATTTTATTTAAAATGGTCTTAAAGGGTCTTAAACAGTCATAAATTTGATTTGAAGAAATCTGCAGTAACCCTGTGTATTACTATAATGTTATTTTATACAAGTTCTATTGGGATTTTATATGGGAAAACTGAAATAATTGAAATAGTTCTTGTTTTTGGCAGTTATAAAACACCAATATCATCTGCAAGTTGTCGCATACCGCAGTCCTACATGGACTTCCACACTTCTTCTCATTTGGTCCAACTCATTCATTTAATTAATTTTTTTTGACTAGGGTGCTTTCACACCTAGACTTTTGTTTCGAACCCGTTTCGTCTGCCCAGTAAGAGCGAACAAACTCTGGAGCGGATTGATTGCAGTGAGAAAGCGGTATGATCCGAGCGCAGTTATATCACAGAGGTTTATGGATATGTAATAAGCATACGGCTACATGAAGAGAGAATTATGAGTAGGGCTGGAAGTTTCGGGAGTCTCCCGGATGCCCGCAAATGAATGATAATCTCCCAGTAATCTCGCGTCTCTCTTCCGGTCCTCAAATACGTTGCGCACCCTTCTCACCCCTCCTCACCGGATCTCTCCTCGCTCTTCTGACACGTCGTGCTCACCTTGTCAAACACCATCAAACCACCACCTCCCCTGACAGCTGAGCGGACTCTGCAAAATAAACCCTGACCCTCTGACCAATGTGAGGAGAGTTTACTCACACGTGACTTGTTTTAGCTCTTTTGGTCCATTTAGAAACTTTGCTGTGTGAAAGCGAACCGCACCAAGAGCAAAGAGCAACAATGTAAGAATTTTAATACCTGTTTCGGAACACTAAGTCGATTCACAGGTGTGAAAGCACCCTCAGTCCCTTTATTCATCAGGGTTTGCCACAGAGGAATGAACCGCCGACTTATCCAGCATATGTTTTAAACAGCGGATACCCTTCTAGTTGCAACCCAGTACTGGGAAACACCCATACACTCTCACATTCATACACATACACTACAGGCAATTTAGTTTGTTCAATTCACCTATAGCAAATGTCTTTGGACTGCGGGGAAAACCAGAGCACCCGGAGGAAACCCACGCCAACACGGGGTGAACATGCAAACTCCACACAAAAATACCTACTGGAATATGGAATATGTATTTGCCTTTAAATGAATTAAGAGAAGATAAACATTAGGTAGCTGAGGAAAAAAATGCTCATTTTAGAAGAAAATTTCAGATGACACTGTTTGTTTTTGCATCTGAACTCTTCTTTAAGACTACATGTTAAAGCTACAAACATTAATTAGTCAAAAAGCAGTATTCATCAAAATTCATCTTTCATTCATACAGTGAAAACTATGCAGTTATTTACGGTTGATTATTCACTTGACTTGGATTTAACTTTAAAATGTACAAAATTTCAGAAATGCAGTGGAACATTTTCCTGTTATCATAAATGATAATGTTAGTAAGGGTTATCTTGCATTCCTAAGAATTATCTAGATAAGATTAGTCAATCACATGAGATTTGACCCTCAGCAGTAATCTAGAATATGTTGCAGAGATAACTTTGTGCTATTAATCGCAATGATGATGGGTATCAGCGGTATTCATATTTAGTCAGCTCAGGAGCCAAGTAGAAGACCACCTCTACATCCAAACCAATGTTTATGCTGCAGTTTTTCTCAAATAATCCAGATGCTTCTCTATACGCTTATTTCATGTGGCCACCATTAAAAATTTAATTTGTTATAATATGGTGTTGTAGGTCTTAAATCATTTGAAACAGGTATTCATTTTCCTATGTGCAAGTAAAGCTACCCAATCGGGCAGACACCCAATAACCAATAATCCATGTCAAAACTTTTTAAAATGTGTTTATTGCAAAGAGATACAAAAACAGCTGTTAGATATTTTTACAGCAAATTTTTTCTCAAATAATCCAGATGCTTCTCTATACGCTTATTTCATGTGGCCACCATTTAAAAAAAAAAAAAAAAAAAAAACGAAAGTGAGGCTGCTGTAGGAAGAAACCTGAATGTATAGGATCAGCACTGTAAAACAATGCAATAACGTGCTGTGGACTACAAACCTCTAGCTGTTGCTGCGATTTCAAAATGAAGAAATGGTGTAAACCTTCCTTTAACTTCATTCAGTTAAGTTTAATTTAAACAATTAAAAGCATATTAGGCATCAAACTAAATCACAAACTCTTTAACAGTAATGCGTTTAAGTGTCCTCCTAGGCTTCAGTTTATGGCACCAGGTAATGTTAAACACCGTGGGGACGCTTCCCTGCTTCAGCCTATGTAACCCAGTGAGTAATAAAACAATTCAGTCCTCTGTAGCACATCCTCGTGTTGTCTGTGATAGTTTTGTCCCGGTACTAAAAAAAAAACAAAAAAACTTTCGTTTCCTTCTAACAAATAAGTGCCGGTGAGCATGTTGAAGTGTTGAAATTCAGCACTGTGACGAGTCTAATATAGTGAAAGAATCAGTTCATTAACTTGAGTTTGATAAATGACATCTAAAACGTGTGTTTGGGAAAGATAACGTTAGATAACTAGGGCTATTTTCCTTATTTTAGCTGAAAATGAGGTCTGATATCCCATTTTATTTTTACTATCCATTCAGAACGGACCTGAAAAGCTCAGCAGAAATTCAGATTCTTATTGGCTATTGTGCCAAATAAATAATTTATTTTTATTTTTATTTTTAAAAGTATCACTGATGTCACATGTTCATTTCAGGATGTTGGTGGACTGGTGGACTACCATCCTCACGCTCGGGACTATGGTCTGACCCATGGATCTCTGGTCCAGCCTCATCGCCGCAGACCATCCCTTCTGTCTGAATTTCAGCCAGGCAATGAAAGGTACAAACAAATATATTGTAATTGCCAGAGCTGTCTCACACTCTTATACGTTTAGTATTGTCCGTTTATGCCCCTCAGGCTGGTTTCCTAATCTATTGTTGACCCTTTCGAAATTGTGGCAGAAGGCTTTGACCGCATTTGCCAACACTATCACAATTACTCATGACACAGCTTTAGGGAAACATTAATTAGGTCTGCTCTAGAATGTCACTTTCAGTATGAGTAGATGTACATTCTTAACTGTGATCTCTTAAGTGGTACTCTAGGGGCAATGTCTGAGCAGTGGCCATCTATCAATGAATCCATGTTAGTCTACATCTTTTTTCAAAACACACTCAACACCGTAGTATTCAACATTTGCTTATTTATCTGCTCATCGATGGATACTTTGAAAGAGCTGGCTTTGATTTCTGTCCATGTATGTAAGTGGTCTTTGAAGATGTGGCCTATAACTGTCATATCTGTTGAGTGTGTGAACATAATGGCTAGTCTGAAGTATTATAAAATCTATAAAATCTCCTATAAAGAGAATATGTGTATACCATGGTCGAATAATAGTTCCCTACATGGAAATGGCCATATCTCAAGCACTAGTGTTTTCTTGTTATCATGTAAATTCCACAAGTATAAAACAGGTCTGTCAGAACACAATATAGACGGTTACGTTGCACATGGGGCTATTTATTAGTGCGCCTTCAACATGTTCATTGTACTTTAAGTCAGGTTCTATGTCAGCTGGACCTGTATGAGCAGTGTAATCCGAAGCATTCAAAACACATGCTCATATGTTGCACAGAGATTAATAATATGCGTGTTCCAGGCATAATTTGATTGGCCACAGTTTTCCCTAGTGAGATTACAACACTGATCATTACTTTTACATTTCTCTACAATTATATTAAACTTACTATGTATCTGGGACTCTGATTTTGAAAATGGGAGATGCAGCAAAATCTCATTGAGAAAAACCAAACACAGCCACAGCAGAGTATTTTGTATCCATTGCTCAGCAACGACTCCATAAGGCATGGATTTACAGCTGGCCAGGATGGAAAATGTGTTTTTTTTTTTTTTTATATATATATATTTAGCGCCCCCAAAAGACGCATGAGTTATGTTTAATTGTATATCTTATTATTTATCCCGTTTATTGTGAGATTTATTTCAATTAATTTCTATAATTTTACAATTTATTAAAATATATATTAAATTAATTGCTTTATTTACTCATTTCGAGTAGGTAATATAAAATGTCCAAATCATAGTTATGTTGTGATAACATAATAATGGATAAATGATCTGATTTCTGGTTGTATGATATGATATTTTCTGATATTTTGTTGTTGGAAACAATGTCCAAAAAAAAAAAAAAAAACAGATTCATCAGTATGCAAGGTCATTGATTGATATAAAAAGCTTGTAACCAAATTGTATATTTGTTCACCCAACTGTGAAAGGTAAATTTCATTTCACCAGTGGGTCCAACGAGACTACTGTACATCTCTAAAAGGTCTGTTGTTTTATGTTACCTTGCAACTTTTAAGCAGTTAACCAATGCAAAACCCACCGGCAATTCTTTGCATGGGAGTCGGGTGCTCTAACAAGTAGGCTAAAGACCATGGCCTTTAGTGACCGTCACTAGAGCACCTTTTGAGGTCTGAAATGAGGTTTACCTGCATAGCACTTTACTAGCTAGCCTCCGTTACACACGCATCCCGGACGAGCCCCCAATTGTAACCCACTGGTCCTATTGCATCCATTCTGTTCTGAGCTGGGATCAAACCTTCGATTCTTTGTATGAAAGTCGGCTGCTCTAACAAGGAGGCTAAAGACCAGAGGAGTGAGGTTTACCTACAAAGGACATTGCTAGCCAGCCTCGGTTACAAATGTAATTGTTCAGATTATACCCACTTCCTGTTCAAGTGCTTGGATTTCATCATTTTTGCTCTCCATAAATTATCCAGTGAATCTGTGTTTTATGCAATAATTACTAAGATGCAGTGGTGTGTGTGTGTGTGTGTGTGTGTGTGGTGTGTGTGTGTGTGTGTGTGTGTGTGTGTGTGTGTGTGTGTGTGTGTGTGTGTGTGTGTGTGTGTGTGTGTGTGTGTGTGTGTGTGTGTGTGTGTGTGAGAGAGAGAGCTCTAGGTTAAAAATATCATGTTTTCCTCTTCTTGCATGCTGGGATTCTTTTCGCCATATAAGAAGCACAGTGTGTGGGTGTATTGGGAATAACTGTGTTTCTCAGTCTGAATGCTGAATGTGTGCGTGTGTGCGTGCGTGCGCGTGCGTGCGCGTGCGTGTGCGCGTGCGCGCGTGCGTGTGTGCGTGCGTGTGTGCGTGCGCGTATGTGTGTGCGTGTGTGTGTGTGCGTGTGTGTGTGTGTGTGTGTGTGTGTGCATGTGAGCTGAGCTGAATAATCAGAGCCTGGTACAGTGGAGCTGGCTGTTCTCAGAGGAGATAGACTAACACCCCCTGAGATAGCGAGAGCTGCCGGTAGGGTGGATTAACTTGAATATGAAAGTGTTTGTGTGTGGGTAAGTTGTGCATGTCTGCTCTTCCACATCCTTTTCTCCCTCACTGCAGACTGTTTAGCTTGCTTTTTTTGCTGGTCATTCAAGTATGAAGGAAAATCTCTTGTGTAATTATAAATTCGTTGCACACAATCAACACACAAGCTTCAGAATTGAAAATGATTTTAGGGTGTTGCAAAGAATGACATTCATCTTGATAAGTTGAAGTCCTTTATTTCTGCTTCAAGATGATGGGGTGTTTTGGCTCTTTTAAAGATCCATTGATGGACTTCACTCATCATTTGTCTACTAAGCTGCAATATTGCTTTCTGTGTTGATTTGTGGTGACATAAGTGAAAGTGGTCAAAAGAGGTGTTTTATCCTTTTATGGAGAGGAATAATAAGGAAGGGAGATCAGATCCAGATGGATTTATGGAAGGAAATGGGGTTGTAAGTGTGACAGACTGAGAGTCTAATGGGAGGATGGTAGAAGAGGGAGATGATATGGCAAAAGTTCAAGGGCAGATTTATTGTACACTAGTTCAAACACTCAGCACACACGATCTGTCCTCAATTCTGAATGAGGTCAAAGGCCAGTTAAACCTCTCTCTGTCACCCTGTTGTTTGTGTGTGACTATATAACAGGTCCTGCCTGCCGATCAGATTATCTTGCCCACTCGCATAAGAGAGAGAACATGGATAAAAGCTGCAGTGTGATGTGATTATGTAAGTGTCAAGAATCCATTGAAATCAGGGGATTTTGGCAATAGCGCTTGCATTTGTTTGTGTCTCACTAAAGGAATCTGTCTCAGACCAATTGGGGAATTATCAGTTACACAATGTGTGCCAATCAAGGCAGACCAATCACTGCAGAAATCAGAATAATTGATGAGTCCTTTCAGAAACAGACAAATGTGAGAGTGAAGCGTGAAAAAACAACGGTTGATCATTGATCTGCAGTTATGATCAACCTGTCGTGATAGTCAGTATATTGCAGAATGCACTGCATTCTGCCTTCTATGGAAAGCGGGGCTTATGCAGCATCCTCACGCACGCTGTGCTCACACACACACACACACACACACAGGCAAAGTGCATACGAGAGAGAGTGGATGGAGAAGGTGAAAAAGACAAGAAGCAAATCCACTGACTCGTGTTTAGAAACTACAGTCAGTTAAGATAAACAAGTCGCGATGAACTTGGTTTCAAAGACATAGTCTTCAGCTCCAGTCTGGGGACTGGAGCCGAATGAGAAAGGAGAGTCCCCTAAAGTGACAAGCCAATATGTTGAATTTGTTTCAGAACAGTGAAAATCACATTTAAATAATAACCACTCTACCCATTTTTTCAACAGGGTCTTCCATACAGTTAACTGTAGCGGATGTATTTATGTGCCATTGCATGTAGCCGTTAAACACACTTGAAAATCCAGCATTTAAAAAAAGATGCTGCAAACATTTAACAAACACTTCTGTCTTGGAATCTGACTGATTATTAAAAAAATGGCACCTGTGATGCATTAAAAGTCTACTTTAGACTTACACTTTTTTGTTTACATCTACTTTTTATTATTATTTATTTGCTTTAAGATACTTTTTTCATGTTTCAATTTCAAACCTAAACATTCTAAATATTCTTAAAGATAAAATGTACTTTGAAAAAGTGTACTTGAAGTATTACACTATTTTGTCAAAATGATTGTTTTTTTTTATTATTAGTGATATAAGTTATAAAGTGACAATAATATTGTTTATCGCAATTAATTTGGGTTCAATACATCACCCAGCAAAATATAGATATCGTGACAGCCCTAGCAATGAACATCTATACTGAAGTATTTGTGTAAAGCATCTGTTTTGTGAGAAGTGCTTCTCATATGATATGTGAACCACCCGTACAGCTTTACTTGACATTTCCTTAAGTTAGAATGATGTCAGCTAAACTTTCTGTCGTACACCACGACCACCTAAAGGGTTCCATTGGTACCCTTTCGGCAGTGAAAACGCATGACTGATAAAGGTGACCCGTACCGAAGCGCACCATACCACTTAGTGGAAATAGGCCATTAGATCGCAACAGTATGGCCCTGCACTAGAAGTCTGCCTTCCCGCGGCTGTCCCGCGGGCGCCGCAGGACCCAACCAGATTTCTGCGGCGCTGGAATAAATTTCCGAATAAATCGCGGGAGCGGTCGGTAACGGGTTTAATTTGGGACGGGAGCGGGCTGTCTAGCAATATCGCGGATATTGCTATGCGAATGAGAGATAGAGAGATAGAGAGATAGAGATTGAGATTGAGATTGAGATTGAGAGATTGATTTCCCATATAGCAAAATACACTCGGGCCAGTTCCGGCTAGATTCTCGCCTGCCGGAGACTTACCACTCAGCCCGGATCTGCCTGCCCGGCTCCGGATGCTTGTGGACTCACTGCTCGATTCCGGCCCAAATCAATCGGGCCAGATGCGGCGGCCGTAAGCGAGTTTTTGTTCT